TCTTCTTGATGTCTTCTGCTTCTGTGAGGTCTCTCCAATTTTTGTCCTTTATCATGTCCATCTTTGCACAAAAGTTTCCTTTAATATCTCCAATTTTCTTGAATAGATCTCTGGTTTTTCCCTTTCTATTATTTTCCTCTATTTCTATGCACTGTTCATATAAGGCCCACTTGTCTCTCCTTGCTATTCTTTGGAAGTCTGCATTCCATTTCCTCTAACTTTCCCTATCTCCCTTGCATTTTATTTCCCTTTTCTTCTCTGCTATTTGTAAGGCCTCATTGAACAGCCACTTTGCTTTCTTGCATTTCCTTTTCTTTGGGATGGTTTTTGTTCCTGCCTCCTGTTAAATGTTACGAGCCTCCATCCATAGTTATTCAGGCACTCTGTCTACCACATCTAGTTTCTTAAATCTGTTCTTCACTTCCACTGTGTATTCATAAGGGATTTGGTTTAGGTTATACCTGACTAGCCCAGTGGTTTTTCCTGCTTTCTCCAGTTTAAGCTTGAGTTTTGCTATAAGAAACTGATGATCAAAGCCACAATCGGCTCCAGGTCTTGTTTTTGCTGACTGTATAGAGCTTCTCCATCTTTGGCTGCAGATAATATAATCAATCTGATTTTGGTACAGTGGTGCCTCGATTTACGTGTGGTATGTCAGCAAGGTGCAATTTGGAAGCTCTAACTTCCATTTTTTATGAGTCATGGCTTGTGTTCTTTGAACTTAATGAACTGTAGTACATAGCCCTATATTTAAAGTTAGATACAGCTCATTTGAAACAATAAAGATGTTTTGATTAATCAATGATTAAGATAAATTGCAATATAAAGTTAAAAATTTGAATTATATGCTAAACTGATTAATCAAGAAGTAGAAGTGCTTTTTAAAAGTATGAGCTAGTTCAGTGCATTTGCTCCAGTTAATTTATTTTAATTTCATTGAAAAAATAATTATTTCATAGATTAATATTGAACATTTAATAGCTTTAAGATGTAAATATTAAACATTGAGTTATTGTTAGATTTAATATTTGTTATGCTGTATATTGAAATCAGTGTAAGGAGTTGGATACTTATTACTTTGATATTTTAATATACTAACTATTGCATATTCTGACCCACAGGAATCTCTAAAAGTTCAAATGAATTCACTGACATAGTATGGAGCTCCAGTGGGAGTGACATTTCTGATGATGAAAATAAGACTTTCACTTCAAAGTTCCCGTGTCTTAAAGGAGAAAAATGTGGAAAATTTGATTTAATCTCAAGGGATAGATATGATGAAGGTGAAGCTCTTTCCATTTGTTTCTTTGCAAAATTATTCTCAATGTATATGTTCTTCTGAAGAACCTGTTTTTTTCCTGTTTAAGACAATTTTTCTATCTCATCGGTTCTGGATTTTAAGAAATCTTTATAGCTATAATAGGAATAGTTATACTTTAAACAAGTAATTAGAGATGGTGGCATTTGAATACGAATATGAATATCCCTGCACAGCTGGACTTAATGAAGGTTCGGCCCCTGGGGCTGGATCGTCCACTCGCATGTCCAGCAGTGGTGGCAGCCCTGCGTATCCTTCCAGTCACACCTGGAGCGCTGCTCTTTTCACACTCAGCAGCTGTGCAGGGAGACTGATCCTCCTTCCCCCGCCTGGAGTGCCAGCCGAGTAGTAAGAGAATGGTGCTCCGGGTGCAATTAGAAGGATGAGTGGGGGCTGCCACCACTGGCTGATGTGTGAGTGGACGGTCCAGCCCCAGGGGCCAGACCCTCATTAAATCCAGCTGTGCTGGGATATTCGTGTACAAATATCCCCATCTTTATAACTAATGGAACTTGATAACTGCTTTCAGTCAATGTGAGGGGTTTAATCTCTTCTTGTGACAATCTTAATTGAACAAACAAAGAAACATTGAAAAGGGAACTGGAATATTAAAAAATGAACACTTTTTGTTGCTTTTATATACTGTCAAGTCACTTACAACTTATGGCAGTCCTGTGAATGAGCAATCTTCAAAATGCCCTGTCCTCAGCTGCCCTACTCAACTTTTCCAGACTGCAGACCATGGTCTCTTTTAGGGAGTCAGTTCCTACTTTTCCAGACTGAAGACCATGGTCTCTTTTAGGGAGTCAGTTCCTCTCATATTTGGTCTTCCTCTTTTCCTGCTGCCTTTTATCTTTTCCAGTGTTATTGTCTTTTTTCCAGAGAATAGTGCTTACCCATGATGTGCCCAGAACAGGACAGCCTCAGTTTCAACATTTTTGTCTCCAGCAATAGTTCAGACTTGATTTGATCTAGTATCCACTTGTTTGTCTTTCTGGTAGTCCAGGGTATCTGCAAAGCTCTCCTCCGCCATGTTTTAAAAAAACCCCACATCCCAGTTTTTTTCCTGTCAGCTTTCTTACAACTCTCTTCCGCCATGTTTTAAAAAAAAACCACATCCCAGTTTTTTTCCTGTCAGCTTTCTTAACTGTGCAACTTTCACACTCAATTCATGGTGACTGGAAATACAAGAGTGTGTCAGCTTTCTTAACTGCAACTTTCACACTCAGTTCATGGTGACTGGCAATAAAAGAGTGTGGATGGTCTTGGTTTCCTGTGACACATCCTTACACTTGATGATCTTTTCAGTTTCTTCATTGGTGCCCTTCCTAATCTTGGTCTTCTGATTTCTTGGCTGAAGTCTCCATATGGATTGATGATTGTACCAAGGTATATAACAGCTCTAACTATTTCAGTTTCTTCCTTGTCAGGGTTAAAGTTGCGTAGTTCTTCTGTAGTCATGCATACTTCTAGAATTATATAAATAGGGCCTTGTTCTACAAAGTATGATGAAAGAACTGGTATTAACTAAAAAAAGTTAACCCTACATTTGACTCTACAGCTGGGATATTTTAGTTTACTTTTCCCCCCTTTTCTTCTTTTCGAATTTATGTCATGCCTAGCTCCCAGAAATGGGACTCAGAGTGACTCACTATAGGATTTATTTATGTGTTTATTTATTTAAAATATTTACACCCCACCTTTCTTCTAAAAAGAACCCAAAGCAGCTTACAGTACTATAAAATAAACAGTGTTAAAAACTAAGAGCAATAAATTATTAAAGGATTAAACAAATATAACATTAAAACTAGTAGATAAAAATAGTTCTAAAACACATTAAAAATAACAGGAATACATTAGACCGATTTTGAAAATCTAGTTAGCCCATCGCTAGCAGAAGGTCTTTCTGAAGAAAAAGATATTTGCTTGCTTGTGGGAGGACAAGGCCAGTCTGACCTCTTGTGGGAGAGAGTTCCAGAGTTTGGGAGCAGCAATAGAGAAGGCCCCATCCTCTGCCCCCACCAAACATACCTGTGATAGTGAAGGGATTGAGGAAAAAGCCTTCCCCTGATAATCTTAGGGAGCACTGGAAGCAGAAACGGGGTTAGGAAGCTTTAAATTAATTGAAATGAATAATTTTGGCTTCCTGTTCTGGTTTATGTTGCACATAGTTATGCGATAGGATTTTGTCCATTGTTAAGAAGAAATAAAATAAAAAAGATAGTGAAAAAGGCAGAGGAAGAGGGTGCAGTTCAGTATATACTAGGACAACCTGGGCTGGAAGGAGAACTCAAGATGTGACATCAGTGCTACTCTGCTGACGGAACTGAATGTACGGTAGGGGACAAAACATATTCGTCTAGGAAGCTCTACTGATGAAAAGTTCGCACTAGCTGGCTATAGGAGATGAAAGGAGATGCTCAAGGCAGGCATGAGCATGGCACATCCAAAATGCTTTTGTGCTCTCCTCAGGCTCCAGGAGGTGGAATCATTCTATGCCAATCCTGATGATGGCATAGTTAATAGTTAGAGTCTCATTGCAGTTACTTGGAGATGGAAAAAAATCCAAAAATGTTAGAGAAAGAGATGTCTGAGAAAGAAAAAGGAATAAATTAGGAGGAAATATACTTAGATTTGAGTCTGGTTATTATGATAGAGATTGTTCTGAACATGAAACTTCTGTCTCCTTAGTTTAATTTTTTTAAACTCAGGAACAACAAATACTTATATGAAAATGATTAATGATAATAATTGGAAATCTTGTATCTAACAACCTGCTATATGTTGTTGGGAGTAAGTCACTGGTTAAGACAGATAAATATTACAGTTATTTTCCGATCATTATTATATAAAACTATGTAAGCGAGAATAAATACCCTGTTTTCCCGAAAATAAGACCTAACCTGCAAATAAGCCCTAGTATGGTTTTTCAGGATGCTCGTAATATAAGCCCTACCCGAAAAATAAGCCCCAGTTAAGTGAAAACCCACCCTCCACCATTGTGGGGAAGAAGATGACATGAGCGTATTGGAATAAATATAGATTGTTGTAGAGGAAAAAAATAAAACATCCCCTGAAAATAAGGCCTAATGTGTTATTTGGAGCAAAAATTACCATGCAAGGCCCTGTCTTATTTTCAGGGAAACACAGGAGAAATTTGGAAATAATTTTGAGCAAAATATTCAGTTTAGATATACAGTATTTTCCTTTCAACCTGTGCTTTAGTCATGAAGAAAAAGCTAAATATTTTTAAATGATATTGAAGAAAAAGGATTTCTGAAAGCTTTAGAAGAAATTAGCACTCTGGAAACTATTAGAAAGCACAGAATTATTTAGCGAGATAAATAAAGACCAGCATGTTCTCAAGACTAATATCCAAAAAAGTTTATGCCTTTAACATTACACATTTACTTAGGAGAAGGTTTCATTGAATACAACAAAGCTTTCCAGTCCTTGAATAGATATACATAGGTTTTCATTTAGTTACGCAATAGGATTTCACATAAATCTATTAATTTTTAAGGACTGGAAAATATTAAGGACTTAGTATTTTCCAGCGCAAATGTTCAATGTATCAGTACTGTATTTGGTAAGAGTTTTTGTAGTGGTTATCAGTGAGCATCAATGCAAAGGCACTAGTCCAAATAAAGCTTATCCTTTTGATGTCCTCTAAAAATTACAGGTAACTCATGGGTTCAAAAACTTGGGTCTGCAGAAGTTTTTGGACTTTTACTCCTAGAAATCCTGATCTTTTGCAATGACTGAAGGGAGATTGGCGTCTTGGAACCGTTAAATTCCTAAATTTTCATAAATAATTTTAACTTCAGCAAAATAGTCCATAGAGTAGCTGGATAACTCAGTGGTTTAGGTATCTGTTTGCAGAGCCAAAGGTTGGCAGTTTGATTTCCCATTGTGCCTCCTGTGAATAGATCCAGCTTCTGTGGCCCTGGGTCAGTTGCATAGTCCCAGGGCATCCCCAGAAGAAGGAATAGTAAACCAGTTCTAAGTATTCTTTACCTGGAAAATACTGAAAAGGGTTACCATGAGTCAGAATTAATTTGATGGGACTGATTATTATTATTGAGATAGTGCAGGGTTTGATTTCCCATTGTGCCTCCTGTGAATAGATCCAGCTTCTGTGGCCCTGGGTCAGTTGCATAGTCCCAGGGCATCCCCAGAAGAAGGAATAGTAAACCAGTTCTAAGTATTCTTTACCTGGAAAATACTGAAAAGGGTTGCCATGAGTCAGAATTAATTTGATGGCACTGATTATTATTATTGAGATAGTGCAGGGTTTGAAGTTGCCTTTGAAAACAGGCTGAAACTAAATATGACAACAGTTGTTTTGACTCACTGAGAGGAAAAAAGGGAAAGGGACAATGTGAAATCCTAAGGCTTTCTTCTGGCTTATTTTAGCTTGTACATTGGTGAGAACCAGGGCAATATGTGAAGTGGCTTTTACTTCCTGTATAGTAACTTTTCAGTACTGAAGACAAAAGTAGATGGTATCTTTCTTAGATCACTAAAGTATCATAAGCAGAAGCTGGCTTTTGACTCTGTAAGAATCTTCATTAAGTTGGCATTGGTGGCTTCTGCTTGTGATATTTTAGCTGTCTAATAAAGCTATCTTTCACCTTTGTCTTTAGATTGTGTATAAGGGCTACATAGCTTTTCTCTCTCCCTTTTCACTCTTGTTTTGTTGATTTTATAGTCAGAAACACTAGATGGCCATCTTTCCTTAAGTTGCAGCATTTGTTTGTTAGTTCACTAAATGTCAGACCAGTGTTTCTGGGTCAGCCAGACATTTTTATAATTCCCTGCTATTCCTAGTCAAATGGAATTAATGATTATTTTCCAGGTTATTGCCTTGTGTTTCTTTGTTTTTACAAATCAGCTTACAGTGCTAACATTCTATTGGAAGCCACTCTTTCTGACGAAACAAGAAAAGTGTAGTTGAACAGGATCTTCAGTCATTTGTTCTGTTCTAAATCCCTATTTTGTTATCTTCCATTTTTATTGGATTTCAAAAGATTTTTAATTTGTTTGTTATAAGATGTGCTTCTATTTTTGTGAATTATTAAAAAATATTTAATGTGAATGCTTAGAAAACAGTGAATTTGTAAGCTGAGATATCAAATGGATTAAGTATCTCTGAAAGAATGTAATAAAGCTTATTGGGTAATATAGTATTGTAAAATACTGTTATGATATTTCTTATATTTCTTTTCCCTGAAGATGAACCTCAGCTCATTGACTGGGAGAATGAAAGTGATTATGCAGATGATGCAAATCCATATAGTGGAACAAAGCCTGATGACATTTCTTTGGACATACTGGATGCTGATTCTTCCACAAGCAGTAATTGTGAATCTGATGAAAAGGCAGAAGATGAATTTTCAAAGGTAGGAAACTGTTCTTGATGGCAAATCACTGAGGTATCTGAGCATGGGGCCTCTTGATAATTTTGCTTCATTAAGCTTAATTTGCTCACAAGGCTAAAATGCCTCTTGTCATTTGAATAATCAGTGTTGCAGGCAAGTAGGAGGGCATGCCATTAACCAAAATCCTTCCTGACATGGGATTACTTCAGGAACTCTGCCTTCCAGATAGAAGAGTTGTTGCTTTAAAGATTCCTTTGCAATAGAATAGAAAACGATGAGAAGCGTGGAAACAAAAGTGATGAAACAATAATAAGAGTAAGGATAAATTGAAAAAGAGTAATTAAAACTGAGTAGGAGCGATAGCATCTAATGGATAGTATTTGAGCATCTAATAGAGTTCTCTAACTCAACAATAAGCCTAAAAGGATGAGATTTTTTAGGGTCTTTCTGAAGGCATGTAATATTAAGATTTACACAAATATTTTGTTAGGTCAAACTTTTTGATATGAAAATGTGGTGCTAAGAACTCTTCTGCTCTCTTCTGATACAGTCACTTTTGATGATGGAGGATTCAGTTCTCTGAGTAGACTTAGTATGGTTAGAATGATTTAAATTCAGAGGCAAGATACTGTTGGGAACAACAACATACGTTAAGACAGTTACACAGTGCTTTTTCTCTTGTTACTTGTCTGTCATGTGACTGGACATGGAACTGCTTCTCTGACATGAGGAAGCTGAGGCTCAGAACTACTCATTGTGAGTACCTGCAGGCTTCGTAGTATGGTTGCCTTCTTACACTGTGTGGCACCAGTAAAGTTTTGGCCTTGGTGTTTTACGGCTTTCTTTTATTCTTTCTTTGTATTTAAAATGTTTTATTGGATTTTTCAGTTTTTATTTTACAGTTGCATCTTCATAGCATTCCCCAAATAATATTTTCAAATATGGATTGCACAGACGGATTGCAGTGAACAGTTTGATAGGTGCTTAAAGTTTACTCTTTCCAATGTTTACATGATGAATTTCTTATCAATCTGTCAGTAGATGCTTTCAGTTCACTTCCAAAGTTTTCTCAGAACATCCAGTAGAGGGAGACAATAACCAATTTATTTTTTTGTTTTTATTTGAAATGAACTTTGGACATATGACACAGTATACTCTCATAGACTAAGGCAGTGCACACTATAATGTAGCATTGAAATGGAATAAGTAGGTTAAACTGTGAAAAGAAACTGTGAGCATTTAAAGTGACTTCAGTACAGTACTTTATGGCACAAATGTAAGCACTGTTCATTGCAATGCAGAAGTCTCCAGCTTGCTCGGTGTTGCACTCTAGCAGTGAGCAGTAAGATTGGCCTATGACTTATATTACCCATCTGTCACATACGTATTTTTGCAGTGCATAGCTTCCGTAATTTGCAGTCCTTTGCCTTGGATATCATTAGCCATTATCATTATGCAAGTTTGGATAGGTTTGTTTGTTGATTCATAAAGTTATTATTCATGCAGGCATCAAATTTTTTTTACGTACTTGACTTCTATTAGTTCCCATTAGTTTTTGAATGAAGGTTATTAACATATGGCAAAATGAGAGCTAAATCTATTTATTAATCACACATATTGATCATATTTTAATTTAATATGAAGCCATGATTCTGGCCTGGTACGCTGTGCATGCTTCCAGATTTGCTCCTGATGCAGCAAGAATGGCTGAAAAACCATGGCCCTATTATCCATAGTTAGAATGTTGTGTAACCAAACCCAATAATCTGTTTTGTTGTGAGTGACAAGCCAAACTTTTATGTTCAAATCTCCCTGTATACAAGTCATGGCCTAAATATATGTGGTTTGTTTGGCTGCTTTTGGTTGCAGAGGAGCTGTTGAGCAGCAAACAGGAAAACGCTGCCCATTTGCCAACAGCCCAGAACTCTGAACAATTCTGACGTTTTGTGTTCAGTTGCACCCATTGTTTCTCTGAGAACAATGGCATAGGTTTCTGTGCTGACATACAGTATCTTACTTATTTTGACTTTTTTTGATGTAGGGAGTGGGGATATATTTTACCTCTTAAGCCAGTTCTCAAATAAACCTTCTATAGAAGAAGAGCTATGTCTGCTATAAGGGAGTGCTTTGGCATTGGTCTTGGAAGAAGAGCAAATTTTGAAATGTACTATTGCCCAGAAATCAGAGAGCATGAGTTTTTGTGGAGGGAAATTGGCTTTTCTTAATTGCTAGACTTTATTTTTTATCTATCCAATGCAGTAGACAGCAATGTATTCTTATTTTAGATGCATGGGTTTTGTGTTATCTCTTTTAGTTTATCAGATCTCCCGTGCTTCTCAGAAACAGAAAGGGCCCCCAGATCCTCTACGTCAGCCAGTCTTAGCAGAGGCCATATGGTCCCCTGGGGGCCCCTGGTACATTTGAACAGGGCCACAGATTGGAAACAGTTCCTCCCATACTACCTTATAAGGTTGGTATGCGACTCATGCAATCCTGATTCAGGCTATATTTCTTTCATCTTGTGTTTTTGACTGTGGCCCCAAAAGAGATTGAAAATGGCTTCTCTACTATGTTCCCCCAAAAATGAGACAGGGTCTTACATTAATTTTTGCTCCAAAAATGCATTAGGGCTTATTTTCAGGGGATGTTTTATTTTTTTCGTGTACAGCCATCTACAGTTAAAATACAGTCATGTCATCTTCTGGTAGCTGCACAATGTTGGAGGGCGGGGTTTTACGTAACTAGGGCTTATTTTTGGGGTAGGGCTTATATTACAAGCATACTGAAAAATCACACTAGGGCTTATTTTCAGGTTAGGTCATTTTGGGGGAAACAGGGTAAGTGGCAGGGCAGAATGGGGGAATCCATTTTTTCAATGGAGTCTGTTCTGTTGGTGGTTGGACAGTTTCATACTTCACTGTTTCTGTCTATGAATTGGGTGCAAGTATTACCTCTAATGTAAAAGTGAGATTGAATTTCACTGTTCAACAGCAAAGGTGATTAGTTCCAACATTAACAGGTGGCTGATAGAACAGGTCTTATGCTTACATGGTCTTCCCTTCCTTTTCATTTTCTGCCAAATGAATTACTTTCTGCTTTGTGTCAATGTAATTTTTTTTTAACATGTTCACTGATTAACATGTGAAAAAGATTGTGAGATTACTTTGAACCTTTGGAACCTAAAGAATTAAAAATAGACTTCTAGCCTTCCTAGGCACTGAACAGACTACACAATTTCCTCATTTGGTTTTGAAAGGGAACAAACGTTTTCGTTAACATTTCATTTGATGTAGCATGTGAAATTCAGAGCAGGACTATTTGGGAAAATAACTTCTTTCCTTTCCTCCTCCTCCTCCAAACCTGATGCTGCCAATGTTCAGTTCTGTCTTTCTTTAGGCACTGATGATTTTTCAAGTGTAGTTTGAATATGTTTCCTTATAATTGACCTGTTCCTACTAGCACGAACCAACATATAATCTCCTTTCCAAATCTTAATGGTATATCCTTTCATGGGAATTTCCAGGGTAGTGGCTTGTTTGAGCCATCAGACCTGACTTTGGGAGTTGACTCATATTGCATGGGAAATCACTGGCATCACAATTACTAACTCCTTACATATTCTGCATACTTTATTTCACTCTTCAGGCATGCCAAATCCATAGGAATATATATGTGTGTGTGTCTTATAGAAGGCGAAACACACGATAACCTGCTAGGAGGTTATGTTTTAATATGCATGTGTAGACAAATAGATAATTAAAGCTTTATACAAGGTTTAAACAAACAAAGTATTATTGTGCTGGGGAAACTACATTTATTTCATTTGATATTTAGAACTTGTATTAAGTGGTATATAAAACGTACATGTAATGGTTGCATTTAGAAATGAAGTTGCTTTTATCAGTATGTATACATATCGGTCTAAATCCTGTTGCTTAGGCTAGTATATAAGTGGTTATGTAGTGAGCGCTCCAACACTGGAAGCATTCAAGAGAAAATTAAGCTACAGTGGGGTCTTGACTTGAGAACTTAATCCGTATTGGAAGGCGGTTCTCAAGTCAAAAAGTTCTCAAGTCAAATCTGCATTTCCCATAGGAATGCATTGAAAACCATTTGATCCGTATCTGCTCCGTCCATAGAAACTATTGGGAAGCTGCTATTCTGCCTTCGACCACTAGAGGGGGATATTTTGTTTCTTTTTTTCTGAGGTCAAGAAAGGTTCAGGGAAGGCAGGGAAAATGCAGTCCAGGCAGTATAGTACCAGGCAGTCCGAAGACTGTCTCCCAATCCACTCTCTAAACGCGGGGAGGAGTTAGGAAGCAGAGAGGCACCCTTTTCACTGGCCAACAGTTAACTGAAAGTTCAAATTTTGCACTTTCCCTGCCTCCCACGTGGGTTTTTTTCAGTTCTTAACTCAAATCTAAGTATGTAAGTCAAGTCAACATTTTCCTAAGAGAGTGGTTCTTAAGTCAAAATGTTCTTAACTCGAGCCGTTCTTAAGTCAAGACCCCACTGTACTATTTGTGAGATTTACTTTGATTTAGATTCCTGTATTGAGCAGGTGTTTGGACTTGAGAGCCTCATAGGCTCTTTTCAACTCTGTTCTATGATTCTAGATTCTAAATTGCAGTAGAATAGGCCCAATTGGGATCTGGTGAGTCTGCTCCTCCAGATGTTCCATTGATTCAAATGGGCCTACTGTGTGACTTGCTATGCTAAAATAAGCCGCATTTAGAGTAGACTCATTTGACTCAGTGAAACTTATAGAGGAGTTGATTCTTCAGATCCCCATTGATTCAGTGGCCCTACCCAGTGCAATTTACTACACTAAGCAATAGGTTTTGGCTATTGAATATTGCTTTTAGGAGGGAAATACTTAGTGAAATCCTCTTTATTTAAACTTCTTATTTTGGTTGGGGTGGAGGAGAAACATACAAATTTAGATTACCTTCTCCCCTGAAATAAAATATAGTTCATCAGGTTTTGGATATGAGTGGGTAGAGGAAGAATTTGTTCTGTTT